TACATCGGACTGGATACGCTCGTAAATGACCTTATTTCACGCGGCTTTATTCTTATACTAGTTTATTACAAACAAAATATATTGCAGACAAAAAGCATAAATGGTGACAATTACAATATTTACAAAAAAAGCTCAAAGTTCATGCACACAAAAAGTTCGGGAAAAAATACGATTTTAAAAGATAACAAATAGGTAAAATGTTAACACAAGCCATTTAGATCACCTACACAACACGACCCTACCCCCCAAAAAAACAACCCACAACAAACTAACAAACAACCCCAACACTCCAGCAAACAACTTAACAACAAACAGACATGCACTACGTGCATAGAAATTACACACATCACTTATTGAACATTAGCACGTAAATAAATGGTTTTAATGTGTCAACATCTAATGATGTTCCCGTCCCCAACCCAACCCCTTCGACCCATCCCCGCTTTTTGATTTTGCCACGGCTCTTCTGTGTTGCCCCAAAGCAATTCAAGGCCAATAGCAAGTTATGGGATTGACATTTTGGACAGGGTTAGTACCAACATTTTATCTACAATACATGTACTTACAACTCGAGTAAATATTCATCAGACTACATTATTATTGTTAACAAGTGTGCAAACAAAAACCGGTTCAGATTTTTTAATAAATCCATGTCTGTGTCTAGGACCACCGCAATTGTTCCAATCGGAACGTAGTCACAATTGGAATATTTCTCATAAAGGCTTTGATTCAAAAATGTACTTACAGAATTCACCATTTGAGCTGGTGGATTAGGTTACAATTGCAGTGCAGTGAATTGTATTGAACCCTAAACATATTCAGTTGATACCTACATAATGTAAAAGCAACTTATTTGCTCTTCTCTCAGTGGCATGAATTTATGTACTCAGTCGTGTCCACCCGCAGTCCATTAATCCAGCTAAATCACAGCCAGTTTTTAGCAGCTGCTGAGCAGCTCTACAAGCACTCATGTCTTGCAGTTTGTTGGTTGGTGTATTTGTTGGCTGGTTGGTTTGTTAGTAACACACTTCACGAAATGACTTTTTGGCCATCAGTCACCTTGTCCCTTAGGCCCTCGCATGAACACGTGCCTCTGTATCATGACCCTGAATTTTGACAGTTGTATAGGTCTCCACTAACCAGCTATTAAATTATTGCAGTTGTGGATCATTGGGTCACAAGAGTCAACAACCACATGTTTGTACTAAAACACTTTGCATTATTGGGACTGGCACTAATCTGCACACACATTGGTGTTTCACATGTACCTAACATACAGCTATAAAACGCTCCATGCACCAACCGACATTCAACAGATACGAATCCTATATTTCAATTGACAGTCACAACCATGTTAGTAGTAGGGCATTATAAACAGATTTTTACATCATGTACATGCCTTATAGGCCACAATAGGTCTACAGTTAGGCCGCAGGTTCCGGAACTTGTTTTTCAACAGCATTTCGAAACCGTAAATAGGCCCTAAAAAATGACAAAAACTAACTACACAAAAGCAGCTCTGCGTTATTGGCAGGAGTCAACTGAGAGAGCAATCGTTTTGTTGCGTGCATGCATGTGCTACATAGCAACCGCCCACGACATTTGTCTGATCTCAAAATCACACGTACACAGTACATGGGAAGTCCCTAATAAACACAATAAGACTGGTTACGTGCAGGGGCGGTATAGTTAAAAAAAAAATGAAATGGGTTGTCACGTTGTCCCTAACTTTTCAGCAAGGATTTTTCTTCCAAGCCCCACTTGGGAATCTGTTTAGGGACCGTTTATCACCATGCCGTTTGGCAATGTGCCAAGACTACTCGCCTAGTAGTACATGGATGATGGGGGTCCGCTCATAAGTCCGACGCCTCATAGGTCCGACACCTCATTAGTCCGACAAAATCGCAACCCCAATAAGGCCCATAAGTCCGACGCCTCGTAGGTCCGACAAATTAAACGCCTCGTTTTCCCAACGTCGGACTTATGAGGCGTCGGACTGATGAGGCGTCGGACCTATGAGGCGGAATAAATAAATGTTATGCCTCCGACGCCTCATGAGTCCGAATTTTGGACTTATGAGGCGTCGGACTTATGATACGGCCCTGTAAGATGCTGGTCTGAGAGCGGGTAGAAACGTAAACTAATTTTAAATAGCTTTTCTTTGAATGTCTTTTATTGTATCTTTTCTACTTTTATTATTATTATTATTTATTCGACCTCAACAGAACAGCAACAAGCAATCAAAGCGGCACAAAATGTAAACAATTGAATGACAAAAGAACGAATAACCAAATACAACAAATAGCCAAAAGGGCAAAAACAGAACAAAATGAGCGGAGGGCAGCCAGACGAGCATGGAGAACGGATTCAGTGGAAAAAAAAAAACCGAGGAGGGTATAAGAGGGTAAGAGAGGGGGCATGCAAGTAAAGGTACTGAATCTTAGGAAGGACACAATGAGTAAACTGCCACAAAAAAAAACAACAGTTTTATGCGGGTCAGGGACAACAAAAGTAAACTAAATAACTGTTGCTCGGAAGCATGTTGTCCCAGACATAATACGACAAGGACGAGAAATAGCACACAAATTAACACAGAGTCGAGGGGAGGGGGAAGGACCAGTTCCTACACTTGCATGCTCCCTGTCAAAACCGGGAGGAATAAAATTAAAAATCATGGCAAACAAAATCAGACGTTTAAACAGAATCTTTAGTTGGCGGAGAAATGTTGTCAGAGGACAGATCACAGCAGCATCCCGGATGTGAGATGGAATATTATCCCACAACCTTGGGAATCGACGGGAAGGAGAATGAAGCAGCGAATCTGTGCGCGCAGGAAGATGGC